ATAATAATAATAATAATAATAATAATAATAATAATAATAATAATTTCTTATTTATACCCCGCCCATCTGGCTGGGTTTCCCCAGCCACTCTGGGCGGCTTCCAACAGAATATTAAAATACAATAATCTATTATTGAGAACAGCTGTTTGGCTGAAGATCAGAGCAGTGACTCCCACAGAGGCAAAACAGGGTAGCTGCATTGGTACCCTGCTTATGGGCTAATTGGAGGCATCCGATTGGCCACTGCAGGAAGCAGGAGGTTGGCTGCTAAATCGTGGACAGAAGGGTCTCCGCTCCGGGCCAGACAGAGCAAGACTCCGGGCCTGGTTTTCTTTCCAGCTGGACTGGTTTTCGGTGTCAATTACCTTCGCTCACTGCCAAGTCTGATTATGCAGGAAGAGAAACCCTGGCAACCTGCACAAACAGCCCCCTCCGTTGCCATGGCTAAGGCAGCAACAAGTGCGGAGGAGGAAAGATAAAAGGGGCAGGCGGGGTGATCTCTGCCGCATCCCCAGAAAGAGAAGGGCACAAGCGGAGAAGGTGCCCCATCAATGGCTTTTGAAGGGGAAAGTTGGTTAATGAGAGAGTTCCCGGATAGGAGGGGCAGATGGAGGTGGAATTTGCATCCATTTGCATTTTAATCTGAGTTTACCTACTTTGCAGTTCCCAGAAACAATACATGATCCAAAATCCAGTTCCCCAATAAGAGGGGAGAGCCAATTGTCCAAAAATGCATTACTGGGGAAGGGCAATGTGGTGTAGTGGTTAGAGCAGGGGTTCCCAAAGAGAGCGATGAGATGCTACAGATGCCGTTTTTAATTTCCCACAGTTCCCTGGTCATAACCTGTACTTGAGGCATGGAGGAGCATTTCAATTTTATTCGCCTTTTGATGAAAAACTGTCTCATTTGTGCTTCCTAAACCAGTATGTATACTTCTCCAGATTTTGTGATGCAGACCTCCCACCAAATGATATATACAAAAATGCATTTAATGGTGGAGAAGGGAGGCATACATTAAAACGTGGTGTAGTGGAATCTTCCTGCTCTACAGTTCTCTGAGTCCACCATTCTCCGACTGCAGTACTCCCACCAAATAACGAACAGTGGTACCTCAGTTTAAGAACGACTTGGTTTACAAACTCGACAAAACCGGAAATAGTGTCCCGGTTTGAGAACTTTACCTCGGTCTAAGAACAGAATCCGAATGGTGGAAGGGCACCGGCGGCGGGAGGCCTCATTAAGGAAAGCGCGCCTCGGTTTAAGAACAGTTTTGGTTTAAGAATGGACTTCCGGAATGGATTACGTTCGTAAACCGAGGTACCACTGTATAATGGGGGGGGGCACTGGAGGGAGTTCCATGAAAGGGTGCCATTCCAAGGGTCCCTTCAGACTCTGATACGACCCTGAACAGGCAAGATCCTTGGGCAACCCGATGCCCGGGTCTTCCAAAAGCTGGTGCTGTGGGTTAAACCACAGAGCCTAGGACTTGCCGATCAGAAGGTAGGCGGTTCGAATCCCCGCAACGGGGTGAGCTCCCGTTGCTCAGTCCCTGCTCCTGCCAACCTAGCAGTTCGAAAGCACGTCAAAGTGCAAGTAGATAAATAGGTACCGCTCCGGTGGGAAGGTAAACAGCATTTCCGTGCGCTGCACTGGTTCGCCAGAAGCGGCTTGGTCATGCTGGCCACATGACCCGGAAGCTGTACGCCGGCTCCCTCGGCCAATAAAGTGAGATGAGCGCCGCAACCCCAGAGTCGGTCACGACTGGACCTAATGGTTAGGGGTCCCTTTACCTTTAAGCATCTTCTGAGAAAGCTTACCCAGTAGGTATCCCAATTTGCAGGCCCCAAGCAGGTTTTGCTAGGGTAAAGCTACCTTGGATCATTGTGTCACCAACTGAATAAATACTCTAGTGCTCTTCATCAAAAACTGTATACAGCATTTCTGGACCTGAAAGGAGCCTTTGACTCAATCCTGAGAGAGCTGCTCTGGAACAAACTGTCCATATTGAACATCTTCAGTGTCCTCAGAACGGAACTCAGTGTCCGTTCTGCCCGGACGCTGAGGTCCAGTGCCAAGGGGCCTTCTGATGGTTCCCTCGCTGCGAGAAGCCAAGTTACAGGGAACCAGGCAGAGGGCCTTCTCGGTAGTGGCACCCGCCCTGTGGAACGCCCTCCCACCAGATGTCAATTTAGAAGACATCTGAAGGCAGCCCTGTTTAGGGAAGCTTTTAATGTTTAATAGGTTATTGTATTTTAGTGTTCTGTTGGAAGCCGCCCAGAGTGGCTGGGGAAGCCCAGCCAGATGGGTGGGGTATACATAATAAATTATTATTATTATTATTATTATTATTATTATTATTATTATTATTATTATTATCTTTGAAATGTTACTCTTCCTCATCAGGAAACTACACACCTCCACGTGTTGCCAAGTGAGATGCTCCCAACAGGGCAGGCTAACTCCCAAAATCATTGCCAACAAAGGGGTAAAACAGGGTTTCGTCTTAGCCCCGTATTTATTCAACCTTAAACGACCTTGCACCTTGTTTTCACGGGTGGGTGGCCATTGCCTGAAGCTCCGCTCCATCCACGCTCCCATCTTACTATATGCCGATGACACAGTCATCTTGTCTCGCACAATGGCTTGAAGCCGTTGCCAGGAATATTGTACAGCCAACAGACTGGAACTGAACTTCGCAAAATCTAAAGCGCTTGTTTTCTCGAGATCTTGGAAACCTCGTAGGTGGGAGATCAGTGGAACCCCGTTGGAACAGGGTTGAAAACTTTAAATACCTAGGCATCCACTTCCAATATAACGCTTCTTGGAAATATGGGACCATTGTAAGATCGCACTTAACAGAGTGCTCTGTTAAGATAGGCTCTGGCTATCTCCTGTTTCTTCTTTAACAGAGGGAATCGGTTCGTCCCAGCTTTAACGCCCAAGTACAGTGGTAACTCGGGTTAAGTACTTAATTCGTTCCGGAGGTCCGTTCTTAACCTGAAACTGTTCTTAACCTGAAGCACCACTTTAGCTAATGGGGCCTCCTGCTGCCGCCGTGCCGCCGGAGCACGATTTCTGTTCTCATCCTGAAGCAAAGTTCTTAACCTGAAGCACTATTTCTGGGTTAGCGGAGTCTGTAACCTGAAGCGTATGTAACCTGAAGCGTATGTAACCCGAGGTACCACTGTAGCCCCAAAACTGCTGTATGGTGTTCCATTATGGATTGGTGCAGCTAACCAACCGTTGGAACGCATCCAATCCAAATTTCTGCGCAAAATCCCGGGGCTGCCAAATTATGTGGCATGTGCCTGGAAACTGGACAAAGGCTGTCGGAAACCAAAGAGCCGCTCACCATTATAAAATTCTGGCTCCGCCTACATTTCATGTCCGATTGGTCTTCTTTAACTTTCCACATGCTGGCAGAATCCCACCACTCCAAATGTCTATCTTGGGTTGAGAGCAAAATCAGAACCTGTGGCCTATCACTCGAGTCGTTGCTTATGCTACCACAGTTGGAAGCATTCCAGAAAATCAAGTGCAGAATCCTAGAGATTGAATTCAAACCCCTTTGCAGTGGAGCCAAGAAAACTTGTTCCCCCTTGGGGTTGGGAATCCCACCCTTGTTTAGCCAGGACACTCCATATTTACACCATATTTACACATATTTATATTTACAGCTTTGCGATCCCCACCTACAGAGCTCTTTCCCACGCAAGATAGTTTCTTGAAAATCCCGTTCTCTGAAAGACACTGCCCTTGTGGCACAAAACTGGTCGTATCTATCACACACGTTTTTATTTTATGGCCCATTTTATGCGAAAATATTTGATAAGTATTTGGCCCCCTTATTGAAGGAAAGGATTTATCTCACTGACTCTTCCAGGGTGTCTTATCTGCTGAACGATTGCAGTAATGACGTTGGGGAGAATGTGGCAAGTTTTTTGAGTAACGCTATGAAATTACATCACCGTAGGTCCTCAGAGCCATCTTCGTACCTCACGATGCCTGGACATTTTTATCCTAAAGCATCTCAGTTTTGTTAACTGTGTTGAGTTCTGATCCATGTATACCAGGGGTCAGCAAACTTTTTCAGCAGGGGGCCGGTCCACTGTCCCTCAGACCTTGTGGGGGGCCGGACTATATTTTGGAGGGGAGGGAAATGAACGAATTCCTATGCCCCACAAATAACCCAGAGATGCATTTTAAATAAAAGCACACATTGTACTCATGTAAAAATACCAGGCAGGCCCCACAAATAACCCAGAGATGCATTTTAAATAAAAGCACACATTCTACTCATGTAAAAACACGCTGATTCCCGGACCGTCTGTGGGCCGGATTTAGAAGGCGATTGGGCCGGATCCGGCCCCCGGGCCTTAGTTTCCCCACCCATGATGTATACGATGCACTTTTGTATGTCAATAAAGGAGACTGATGCCCTGCTGTGTCCTCCAGAAACTGGATTTTGAGAAGCATCCCTGCCTCCGACCGCATAGCCCACCTGCCTAGCAGCCACCGATGGCCTTCTCCTCTCCCATGCATCTGTCCCATCCTCTTTGAAAGCCGCCCCCCTCCCGTCGGTGGCCATCGCTGCCTCCTGTCGCAGTGAGTTCCGCCGTTTAACAAGCCGCCGCCACCTTCTCCCTTTCCCCAGAAACAAAGTTATTCGGGATCCGCGGCGCGCGCCTGCGCAACACGGCACCCCGCGCACCGCTTCTGCCAGGAAGAAGCCGCCGCCGGAGCTTTACAATGAGTTTCCGTTCCCAGGGATTTCCGTTCCCAAGGAACTGGAAAAAATAATGTGCATTTTTTTAAAAAAGGGAAAAAATGCATCTGCCCAGTTTGCAACAAATGCTTTTGGGTTTTCAAGAGATTCTGGCGAGGAGCCACCGGATTTTCTTTATATTTTGGGAGAAAGGCGCAAGGAGGAGGACGCCAGGGGAAAGTTTAGAACCGGATTGAAAAGTGATCGTGTAAACGCAAATCGGGTCACACTCACCGCGCCCATTCCGCTCTGCAGGCGGCAGAGGCTGCTCGGAGCCGGCAGATCGGGACCCCGTCGGCGGCCCGGCCAGAAGCGCGCTCCCCACCGCGGCTCTTACTCAGACCTTAAATAAATAAGGCGCCGGCAGGCAGCGGAGCGTGCGGAGGGAGGGAGGGAGGGAGGGAAAGCCCGGCCTGGAATCCCGGAGGCGAGGAGGCGGCTGGGCTTCCGGGAGAAGCCGGGGAGGGGGCGGTGGAGGCTGCGGAGAGGGGGGGGGGCAGACACGGGCAGAGTTTGGGGGACATAGGAGCCCCCCCCCAAGAAAACGCCCAAATTGATGGGCATTGTGTGTGTGCACCGCCCCCCCATACTGTACAGTACAGTGGTACCTCGGGTTACATACGCTTCAGGTTACATACGCTTCAGATTACTGACTCTGCTAACCCAGAAATAGTGCTTCGGGTTAAGAACTTTGTTTCAGGATGAGAACAGAAATCGTGCTCCGGCGGCGCGGCGGCAACAGGAGGCCCCATTAGCTAAAGTGGTGCTTCAGGTTAAGAATAGTTTCAGGTTAAGAACGGACCTCCGGAACGAATTAAGTACTTAACCCGAGGGACCACTGTATTTTATTCAAGTTGGCAACCCTGTAGGAGCGGCGGGGCGGGGTTGATCCGCCTCCAGTTGACAGGATTTATCTTGGGGGGGGGATGCAGGACACCCACCTGTCCTCATCCTCTGTCGGACAGTGGTTCTCAACCTGTGGATCCCCAGATGTTGTTGGACTACAACTCCCATCATCCCTGAGCTCTGGCCTTGCTAGCTAGGGATGGTGGGAGTTGTAGTTCAACAACATCTGGGAAACCACAGCTTGAGAAAGGCTGGGGCAGATTCAAGAATGAAATGTCTCAACAGCAACTCTTGTTTTAAATTACTTTATTTTGACCTCAGGAAGAAATCCGTCAAACTCTCCAGGCATTTGAAAGCCAGGAAGTTAAATAAAAAAATTAACATCAGGGAGTACCTTTCGTGCGGTTAACGAGTGTGTTTTGCAAAATTACAAAGAGCACCCTTTTTCTTCTTATTATTTTAAACAAATCTAAGCTTTTTCTTATTATTATTTTAAACAAATCTAAGCTAAAACAAGTTTTCTTGGATTTGCTGAAAACCTTTTCACCTCAAATTCCTCCTTTTCCCCCAATGCATTTTTTTCTGAGCATGCTCAGGAAGCATAGCCGTTTGAGACGCTCCCTTGTCATCCTCGACCAGGTCTTCTTTGCTCTCCATCCAGGGTACAAATGGTGCCTGGCTGAGCAAGAGAGATGAGAAGAGTGGTTGGGGAAGATGGAGGGCACAAGGAGAAGGGGACGACAGAGGACGAGATGGTGGGACAGTGTTCTCGAAGCAACCAGCATGAGTTTGACCAAACTGCGGGAGGCAGTGGAAGACAGGAGTGCCTGGTGTTCTCTGGTCCAGGGGGTCACGAAGAGGCGGACACGACTAAACAACAACAACAAAAGGATTTCCATCTCTTTTAATAGGTCTGCACTGCTCAGCTCTTTTATCTGCTTTTTGCTGAGTTTCTTCTTCCACGTGGTGTACCACATGGTGTTCAGCTTCTGAGTCGTAGATCATAGAACTGTAGACTTGGAAGTCTTGCAACTTATAAAAAATAAAACTTACTTTTAAAGGTAAAGGTAAAGGTACCCCTGCCCGTACGGGCCAGTCTTGACAGACTCTAAGGTTGTGCGCCCATCTCACTCAAGAGGCCGGGAGCCAGCGCTGTCCGAAGACACTTCCGGGTCACGTGGCCAGCGTGACAAGCTGCATCTGGCGAGCCAGCGCAGCACACGGAAACGCCGTTTACCTTCCCGCTAGTAAGCGGTCCCTATTTATCTACTTGCACCCGGGGGTGCTTTCGAACTGCTAGGTTGGCAGGCGCTGGGACCGAGCGACGGGAGCGCACCCCGCCGCGGGGATTCGAACTGCCGACCTTTCGATCGGCAAGTCCTAGGCGCTGAGGCTTTAACCCACAGCGCCACCCGCGTCCCCAAAACTTACTTTTAGTTATGTTACAGGAAAAATCCGAGGGCTCCCTTGGACAAAACAAAGACACCAACCAGGATAACTTGGAGCAAAACAGCAGCCTGTAGGCTTGGCCTTTATTGAACTGATGCATCAGGGTGTTCCCCTCACTTGCAGGAGAGAGGAAAGACCCAGAACAATGGGCTGCAAGACCTTATAAAAACTTTTGAAATTCCCCTCCTCTAGCTCAAGCCCACCCCCAGAAACATCATGCATACATTACAGAAAGGGTTGACATCATGCATACATTACAGAAAGGAGGGGTTGAGGGAGGAGTTGTGGTGGTAACCTGAGTGTCCAGTCACCTAGCTGGTTCCTCCTTTCCCCCTCCCCATGAGTACTTTCCAGGTGACAAAGGGGAGTTTGCAGTTTCCTGCCCCCAGAGGGAAGATCTGATCATTGTCCTTTGTTTCAGTCTGTGGTGAATCCACTACCATATGCAAGTTCTTTGTCATTTTGATTGTCTTCTGTCTGGGATTATCAAGGCTGACATAGCAACTGGGCAGGGCTCCTGTGGATGTGCTGGGATGGTGAAGGGATTATGGCTGACCAGAAACCAAGCCACCCCCCTTTGATAGTCCTTGTCACATGGAGAAAAAAATGGAACAGTGCAAATCCGATGTATGGTTGATTTTCTATGAATTTATAACAGAAATGTGGCGTATGTAGTGTGTGTGAGTGTGAGTGTGTGTGAAGTTTGTGCAAACAGAATGATTGGGGTGGGGGGTTTCCTGCTACAGTTAAGTGCTGTTATTTATTAACTTGGCTTAGGGGAAGCAGCTGCCCCATGCCCCCCACCCCGGCCGGCTATGCCCATGCAAGGCGGCTAAAGGGAAAGGAGGATATCCAAGGAAACTTTGAAAGGATCAGGCCAAATAAATGAGAAACTGCCAATCTTTGGATGTCTTCAAGTTCTATCATTATGACAGAGGAAGGGAAACTTTTCTCTTTCCACTTTCTCCATAAGGAAGGACTGTGGTTTAATTAATCGTTCAAACTGATGATTTCTTAAAACAGTGTATTCACATATTTACCACATTTTCAGGTGCCTCCGGTTTTGAAAATGCTGTCTGTCCTCCAGGATGTGGGGGGAAGGCATGTGAACCAATGGCAGAGAGGGGCCTTGGAAGCTGAGGTTGGAGGGCAGGAAGCAGCAGGGGCGGGGAAGAGGTTTTCCTGTGCCATTTTCTTCACCAGCTTCCTCCCGCCATCCTCAGGCCTCTCTGCTCCCCATTGCTCCCTGTGCCCTCCATATCAGCTGCTCTCATCCCCTCTTTTGGTGTAAAAATCTGCCTCCGATTTCCAATATCTGCTCACTTCCTTACCAAAACAGCTGCCACGTTACATCAGCTGTTACACTCTTGAAATAGTCTCTGTCACATTTTGAACTGGATTTAAATGCGACTTTCTGTTTTAAATGAAGAGGGATGCAGGTGGCACTGTGGGTTAAACCACAGAGCCTAGGACTTGCCGATCAGAAGGTCGGCGGTTCAAATCCCCGCGACGGGGTGAGCTCCCTTTGCTCAGTTGATGCTCCTGCCCACCTAGCAGTTCGAAAGCACACCAGTGCAAGTAGAGAAATAGGTACCACTCAGGCAGGAAGGTAAATGGCGTTTCCATGTGCTGCTCTGGTTCGCCAGAAGCGGCTTAGTCATGCTGGCCACATAACCCGGAAGCTGTACGCCGGCTCCCTCGGCCAATAAAGCGAGATGAGCGCTGCAACCCCAGAGTCAGTCATGACTGGAGCTAATGGTCAGGGGTCCCTTTACCTTTACCTATCCAACATCCAGCTTGCAGAAATTTCACCGAGGCCCCCTGGCACCGTTTGAAATTTGTCTGTCTGTTGATTACATTGCAAGAACCAGTGTGGGCACTGCCTTCTCTCAGGGATCTTACGCATTTACCCATCTAGCTCAGCAGAGCCTGCTCTGACTGGCAGCAGCTCCATCCAAGCTATCAGTAATTCACTTCCTCTGGAAAGTAGATTGCCTCTTTGCTGCATGACTGGTTTTAACATTTCTTGACAGCATCCCACACGCCAGCAGGAGGGAGGCAGTAATTTCATCAAGGAATCGGAAAAAGGGCTGGCAGAACAAGGCTTTCCTCTGTTTACAGGTGTCAGGCCTGTTGTGCTGCAGGCCGAGACCGCTGGTTGCCATGGCAGCCCCACATCTCCCCATCCCTCACCACCTGTCAGAGTTATAGAAAGGGATGTTTTAAGACAATGCCGCAGCTCACTGTGGCATTTCCCTGCTGAGATGAGGCAGTTAGGGTAATTGGCCATTTTGTTTTTCTAAAAAGCGTTTTATGGCTTTATTGCAGCCTGCTGGAGGGGAAGGCGTGGCAGGGAGATGTTTCTCTCCTTAAAACATTACATTTCCGACAAACGTTTCTGTATATCTTGTAAGGCATGGAGGGGCAATTTATGTAAATGGTTAAACTCTTAATCTGGGCTTGAAAGCAGCCCTCATCTGCAACTAAGTCCTAATTGAAGTGGTAAAATCCTGCTCAGAGTGTATCACTCAAGACCACAGCAGGGGAACCAGCAGAACAGAGCGATCGACCAGGGAAAATAAAAAATTCCAACATAATTTGTGAGGAAGGAGGTTAGAGAACCTTTCCTCTCTTTCCCACTCCAAATAATAATATCTATTTGTATGGTTTGCATTTATAGCCTTTTTCCCCAAGGAGGCTCAAGGCAGCATACAAGGTCCTTCTTTAACCCCCCCCCCAATGACCCTGTGAGGGAGGTTAGGCTCAGAGAGACAGTGATCACCCAGCCCTGTGTTGCAGGAGGCATCATAACAACAATGTACAACAGAGCACAAGAGGTGGGAGTGCCAAATTTTAGTTCGGCACAGGGCACTGCCGAAATTTGAGAGCACCTGCCCTTTGGAACTCCCTGCCTATTGAGATCAAGCAGACACCTTTACTGTACACTTTTCGGCCCCTGATAAAAACATTATTATTTAGACAAGCCTACCCAGATGCTTAGAAAGTTGAGGTAATTTTAATCTGTGTTAATATTTTAACTTTAATTTTGTTATTGTTGTGATTTTCTCTTGATTTTACTCTTCTTCTTTTT